GCGTGTAACCACAGTGTATGCAATATAGATGTGACCGATGCAGTTAATTTCTTCATCAGTTGTGACTTTCCCTCTCCTCACATCCTTTGAATCCCCGAAGAATTTTGGGGCTTTCCTAGAACTGTGACTCTCCATCTATTAAACCAAGTCCTGGATGTTTTCTAGGGCATGCCATATGCAGTGATAGACTGCTTTCGTACTTTTACTAAATTGTATCTACTTTCTGCATAACTCATTCTAATAACGTGTCCTGTTCTATTTGAAATCAGATATGGCCTTCTTTCCTAAGCTCCTATTTAGACACTAATACATTTGGGTGTTATGTTTTCTCTGTCCAAGAGCAACTCATTATTTATAATTGATAAAACGAAAAATAGATCAATTACAGATTTCTTGAATAAAACGTTCCCAGTAATTTTCAAATTCAACCATTACCCACCCTGAACTGAGTTTCCTGTTCGTTAACCAACTTTCTAAGCATGATGTTGTGTAACCTGCTGTCACATTTCATGAATTGCTGATGCATCACATCTAAATCTACTTTAAAGTCACTTTCAAGATGAGTTGTGTTCAAATGATCACTGCTGGTTTTGCTTGGTGAGCCCATGTATTCCTCAATGCTCAGTAATTCTATTATATGGAAGGTCTGTGATTTGATGATGGTTGCAGGTGCAGAGTAGACAGAGAAACTGTTTCCACTTGCAAGGATAGGCAACAAGAGGGTACAGGTTTCAGGTACTTGGCAAAAAAAAGGCAATATGATGAGAAACATTTTCACATTGTCATGTGTTCAACTGTTATTTGAAAAAAATAGAATCTCATTCTCCATCTCCCTGTAACCCTGACAAAGTGGCATGCTCTTTATGCGGCTGATGCGGATATAATGGGCTCATTTGACTTCTCTAGCACTGTAAAAATTCTGTGTGTCTGAAAGCCACTGGAATGTAGTTTTTGATCACTACAAATTTGCAGGTTTTTCAGGAGATTTCTCAAGATTGGAGATTTTCACCTTGCTTCAGTTAATTTAATTAATCTTGTTGCTGATTTATTTATGGGAGTTGCTGGCTAGGTCAGCATTTGTTACCCTCCTTAGTTGTCCTTGAGGTGATTGTGATTTGTCTTTTTGAATCCCAGCAGAACATTTAGTGTAGATACACAGTGCTTTTAGAAAGACAACTCCAGGGTTGTGACCTGGCTTGAGGGAACAGTGATATAGTTACAACTCAAAATGTTGTATCTCCTGAAACGGAACATCTTATTGGTGACGTTCCCATGCATTTGCTGCCCTTGTCCTTCTGGGTGATAGAGATTGCAGATTTGAAAGGTGTTGTTGAAGGAGTGTTTGTGAGTTGCTGCAGTGTATCTTGTAGAAGGTATCCACTGCTGGCAACGTGGTGGAGGGAGTCGAATGGAAGCCATCCTGGAAGTTGTTGACCACCTGAAGTATTTGTCAGATTGCAGTCAACTAGGCAAGTGAAGAGTATTAGATATAACAGCGCGTGGAGCTGGAGGAACACAGCAGGCCAGGTAGCATCAGAGCAGCAGGAAAGTTGACATTTCTGGTCGGGGCCTTTCTTCATTTTCCCTATCTTTGGAGCAGTGGGGCTTGAACCTGGGCCCCCTCACTAAGTGGTGGGCACACTACCATAAGAGTCCCATTATACTGGATTAAACCAAATCATGCGGGTCATAAGACATTTATTATGCTGATTAGATTATTGGTCAAAATCTCAAAGAACACAGTTCTTATGAATTGAGGCGTGTCACAAATTAAGTTCCATAATGCACTTCTTTTTATAATTTTCATCACTGACTTAAGTTAGTTAGTAGATTCATGGAACTATCCTTGCATTCATTTGGAAAGCAATATAAATTTAGTAATTTGGGTTCTACATAGGTTGCATGCTCATAGGCAAGTTTTGGAAATTGGCTGTGTGTGAAACATGCCCATTAAAGTCAAGCATTTGAAGTTTGAAAACTTCAGTATGTTCGTAACATGCAAAAGTATCTGTTGAAGGCATTTATCAGCTAGAGAGCTGAGGATTACAGTTGATCTTTTATCAAAAGAGTGGAAATTGTGTGAAGTAGCTGTAGGAAAATCAAATGTGATGTTTGATTACGTTATAAGTACAGAATTGAGGGGCTGTATTTGGGCTGTATACAGTTTGGATTTTTCCACGTTTTTAGCATTTGGTAAGCATACATGATGACATGTAACAGAAGAGTCATAGTTGTACAACACGGAAACAGACCTTTTGGTCCATTTTGTCCATGCTGACCAGATATCCTAAATTAATCCAGTTTCATTTGCTCTCATTTGCCCATATCCCTCTAAAGCCTTCCTTTACATATGCCCATTTAGAAGCCTTTTAATTGTTATAGTTGTACCAGCCTCCAACACTTCCTCTGGCAGCTCCTTCCATACATGCACCACCCTCTGCATGAAAAAGTTGCCCTTAGGTTCCTTTTAAATCTTTGCCCTCTCACCTATAACCTATGACTTCTAGTTTTGGATCCCTGTACCTTGGGGAAAAGACCTTGGTTATTCACCCTATATATGCCCCTCATGACTTTATAAATCTCTATATGGTCACCCCTCAGCCCCCAACACTCCAGAGAAGATAGCCTCAACCTATTCAGCCTCTCCCTATAGCTCAAACCCTCCAACCCTGGCAACGTCCTTGTAAATCTTTTCTGAACCCTTTCAAGTTTCACAACATCCTTCCTATAGGAGGGAGACTAGAATTGCATGCATTATTCCAAAACTGACTGAATCAATGTCCTGTACAGCTGCAACATGACCTGCAAACTTCTCCAGTCAATGTACTGACCAGTAAAGGCAAGCCAAATAAATGCCGCCCTTCACTATCCTGTCTACCTGCGACACCACTTTTAAGGAACTATGAATCTCCACTCCAAGGTCTCTTTGTTCAGCAACACTCCCCAGGACCTTGCTATCAAGTGTGTAAGTCCTGTCCCGATTTGCCTTTCCAAAATGCAGCATCTCACATTTATCTAAATTATACTCCATCTTGGCCCTTGGCCCAAGGGCCCATCTGATCAAGATCCCATTGTACTCTGAGGCAACCTTCACTGTCCATTACACCTCCAATTTTGGTATCATCTGCAAACCCACTAACCATACCTCCTCTGTTCACATCCAAGTAATTTATATAAATGACAAAAAGCAGAGGATCCAGCACCGATCCTTGTGGCACACCGCTGGTCACAGGCCTCCAGTCTGAAAAGCAAGCCTCCACCACCACCCTCAGTCTCCTACCTTCGAGCCAGTTCTGTGTCCAAGTGGCTAGTTCTCCCTGTATTCCATGTGATCTAACCTTACTAACCAGTCAACCGTGTAGAACCTTGTCAAATGCCTTAGTGAAGTCCATTTAGATCACGTTCACCACTCTGTTCTCATCAATTGTCTTCATTACTTCTTCAAAAAAACTGAATCAAGTCAGTGAGACACTATTTCTCACACACAAAGCCATGTTGATTATCCCTAATCAGTCCATTCCTTTCCAAGTACATGTAAATCTTGTCCCTCAGGATTCCCTCCAATAACTTGCCCACCACTGATGTCAGGCTCACCAGTCTGTAGTTCCCTGTCTTTTCCTTTCTTTCTTAAACAGTGGCACCATGTTAACCAACCTCCTGTATGCTGGCACCTCACCTGTGGCTATTGCTGATACAAGTATCTCAGCAAGGGGTCCAGTAATCACTTCCATAGCTTCCCACAGAATTCTGGGGTACGTTTGATCAGGACCCGGGATTTATCCACCTTTACTTATGATTGAGCAGGTGACTGAAGCTAATCTGAATAGAAAGTTTATTTTCTATAATTGTGATGACTGGCTAGACTAGATAACATGCAAATAATGTCTCTCAAAGATGTCAGAAAGTGGTTCTTTCTCCTGAGTTACCATTCTCTGGGCAAGGCACTGGACTACGCAGAACTAATCAATTTTCTAACTAGTAGACCCCTTGTTGCTTCAGCTTGTCAAAGTTGGAGTGATGTCATTGCCCTCAGCACCTCATGACTGAAGAGGGAAGTGGGATCAGCAAGTGTGTCCACAGCACTGACATTTCAAGTTGTCCTTGCTACTTGGGTAATCTTCTGTAGAAGTATCACCTCTTGACTTCTGGGCACCTCAGATATTTCAAATTTGGCACAGATGGCCCTTGAACAATCCTGAACTTAGTTTCCATACTAACCTCTATATTGACTTCACCGCTGCAATGTTTTTGTAAGAAAGGTGATATGCAGTGCAGGAATTTTAAAGCTGTTTTTATGGTGTTGTGTATCATTTGTACTGACCTTGCCCGGAGACCATAGGGCATCTGCTTGGGATTCTGTAAGCATCCGTGTGGCAGGTATGGCCTGCTGATCCAAGTTGAATTTTCTGGATGGTGGTCTCCATGTTTTTGAGCCCAACATGATAAAGGTCCTCGTCCTGCAATTGAATTCTCGTGATGGAGCTATGGTGCCTTTGGTAGAAGCCTTCCTGAGCTTTATGGTACCTCTAGCAGCCCCACAATTCTACGCCATGAGACAGGGAGGTAAGTCAAAGGCCTGATAGAGTATGATTTTAGGCTTCTTTACCGTCCGGCTCCTTCCAGGCACGGCCGTGGGTTTACCTGTAATTTCAAAATTCACTCACAGGATGAGGGCGTAGGTACACCTACAAAGCATTTAGGGAGGGAGTTCCAGAATTTTGACCCAACAACACTGATGGAACAATTGTAATTTCCAATTCAGGATGATGAGTGACTTGGAAGGGAACTTGTAGGTGGAGGTATTCCCTGGCACTGGTTCAAGCATTATTTTGTCCTTGGAGCCACTGACTTGGTTGTGGCACTACTATTATGTTATGTGATCTCACCATGTTACGATAAGCTTTGAACAGATTAGCAGCTCAGAACTGGCTGTCCATGAGCTACTGTGGATCGTTAGGAGCAGCAGATCTGTATTTCATGACCAACATACCCCCACCCTATCATGACCTCCAACCCAGGGAATCAGCTATGGTTCAATGAAGATTGCAGGAGTGTGTTCCCAGAGGAGCAGCAGGCATACCTAAAAATGAAGTGCCAGCCTGGTAAAACTAGAACAGTTGAGGACATGCATGCTGAACAGAAATAGCGTACAACAAGCAAAATGTTCACACAGCCAACAGATCAGATTAAAACTTTGCAGTACTGTCATAAATTATGGAAAATTAAATAACTAGTTGAAGAGTGACACTCCACAAACTGTATGGGTAGGGCATAATTTCTAAGTTATCAGATGATGCAAAACTTAGTATTGTAAACGATGGACATTGAATGGCAGACCCATTGTAGACGAAATTTAATGTAGAGAAGTGTGAAAGGAGACGCACGATATAAGCTAAAGGATATTGATTGAAAGGATGTACAGGAACAGAAGTACCTTCGCATTACAAGTGTACAGATCATTGAAGATGGCAGCACAGGTTGAGAAAATAGAAAAAGGCATACAGGATTTGTAAATAGAGCTTTTTAGACTTTATAGATAGAGGCATAGAGCTCAAAAACCAACAAACAAACAAAGTTGAATCTGTATAAAATGTTGGTTTAGTTTCAAATGGAGTATTGGTTCAGATATTCTGATGACCAAATAGTTGGTGGAGTAGCACAGACTGGAGTCCGACATAAGGAATGTGTAAAATCTCAAATGCAGCCAACTCTATGGAAACTGCCAGGAAATTGAAAATTCTCATGGGTGATTTCACCGCAAGAAGAACCCTCTGAAATAATCAATCAAAGCTAGAGAATTCAAAGGGCTGAGCTTCAGTTAATCTAATAGTTACCGAGGAAAAGTTAGATTCAGAACCTGCTGTATATCAGTAATGAGTGCAGAAAATTATCATGGGAATGTTCCCCAGGATCAGGAACTTATGGGGTAAGCTTATTAGCCAGTCAGCTCAGTTAGCTAGATGGCTAACATGATTGAGGATAATACTAACAATGTGGGCGCAGTTGCTATTGTGGCTGAGGCAGACTTGGGACTTGCCTCCTTGCCATGCCTCCAAAAGTAGAAGGCAATGGCAAACTAGCACAGACAAACACTGCAAAGGAATCTGGTCAGTATGAAGCTTCAGTGCAAAATAAGCAAGGATGTGTCCTCAGACAGACCACGGATGAATTAGCCAGGGACTGAAGCTACGTAAAGGATAATTGGAAATGCTCAGGTTGCTTCTCCTGCAGAAGAGAAGATGGAAAAAAAAATTGATAAAGCAATTCAAAGTCATAAGGGGCCTAACCAAAATAGAAGGGGAGAAACTGTTCCCATTGTCCTCTAGGTTCTCAATTTTTTTAAGAAAGATTTAAGGTTATGCAAAAGAACAAAAGGTCACATGAAAAAATGTTTTTACACAGTGAGTGGTTCTAATGTTTTGGCTTGATGGGGAAAGAGCAGGGCAGTGTGACAATTTAAATTGCTCTTGCAGCTGGCATGGGCTTGTTGGGCCAAATGGTAGCTTCCTATGCTGTAACCTTCTTATAATTCTGTCCTTTCCTGCATATTTGAAAGCAAGATTTGTGAGGAATGTTCACAATTTATCAAGAATCAACAATGCTGTATGTTCAACTATAATTCACAGCAGGAATGTGACAGTTAGTTTATAATGGGTGGGAAAGTGTAGCTTGATGTTGTTTTGCCTCAAGCTTTTGAAGTTTGGACGAATTTTGCTTTTCTAGAATCCTCAGACATTAGCAGAAGTCAGGCGGCTGAATTGTGATGGGGATATTGATCAGCTACGAGAATGTTTTGGGACAAGGATGATGTTTGGAACAGCGGGGATGCGATCAACCATGGGACCAGGATTTTCCCGCATGAATGATCTTACAATTATTCAGACAACACAGGTAAGCTGATGTGTGAGCATGATTCAGAAACTGGAATTGCATATTTTCATTAATGCTAATAAAATGGCAGTGTATTTTTCAGTTTCTAGGGCAAGGAGGACTGCATCTCGGATATTCCTCTTCAATAAAATGAAACAGTTTGTTTAAAAGTGTGCTATCTGGAATCCTGGCAAGGAACAGAGATTATTTCAATGATGGGTAGACAGCACTATACCTGAGGACTTGGGGTTTACCAGCCTACTTCTATGTAGATGACTTTCTAATGGACTTGGATGTGAGAGAGATGAGCGAAAACATATTTGCTTTAAACTGTTCTGATGCATAAATATAATTCCTGAAAAACTATGCAATTTATTCATTATTCTCTCTGGAAATTAATATTTCCAATGCTTGATTTAATACTTCATTAGCCATTTAGATGAAAAATTAAAACTTGGATCTTTTCTGCCTGTTAAAGTTAATGTGAAGGATTTTCTGACATTCAGATAAATGTATGATTTGGGAGTAGGAGTAGACTACTCGACCTCTCAGACCTGCCCCTTCATTCGATAAGATCACTGGCTGATCTGTTAGTGATCCAAATTCCATATTCCCATGTATCCATCCCAACCTTTGATTCTCTTGCAGAATCATCATAATCTCCTGGCTAACATTCATCCTTCAGCATACCATCAAAAACAGTTGAAGTGGTCTTATCACATCTGTTGACTGTTGGACCTTATTATCTAACTATTGGTGTGCAGTGACTGCATTTAAGAAAGTAAACTCCCGGAAGTATAGTGCTTTCGAACAAATTAAGGATGTAATCAGATGCACTTTTGTTTTACCTTTTACATCCTCCTCTTCTCCAATCAAATGGCTAAAAAAATGACCAAGTTAAATCCAATCTCAGAATTTTCCACAAAGTAGCAAATCTGCTTTAGCTGTAGATACTTTATGGAAATAGAATTGCTGGAAGCTCTGCTTAAGAAAGAGTAGAATGTTGTTGGAGTTAAGTAAATAATTGTGCAGGCAGGCTGTGCTATACCCATTTTGAGAGTGTTTGCTGTTTCTGTCTGTTAAGTGTCAGATTTCTCAGTAGTACGTCCTTGGCCTGAGGGCTGGTTATAGAGTCATTGAGTTATGCAGCACTGAAACAGGCCCTTTGGCCCAACTCATCCGTGCTAACCAGGTTTCCTGAACTGAATTAGTCCCATTTGCCTGTGATTGGCCCATATCCTCTAAACCTTTCCTATCCATGTACCTGTCCTAATGTCTTTTAAATATTGTAATTGTACCTGCCTCTATCACTTCCTCTGGCAGCTTATTCTATATACACAACACACTTTTTGTATGGAAAATGTTGCCCCTCAGGTCCCTTCTAAATCTTTCCACTCTCACCTTAAACCTATGCCTTTTAGTTTTGGACTCTCCTACCCTGGGGAAAAAATTTTGGTTCTTCACCTTCTCTATGCCCCTCATGATTTAACAAATCTCTTTAAGGTCACCCTTCAGCCTCTTATGCTTCAGGGAAAAAGGTCCCAGCCTCTCCTTATAACGCAATCTGTAACATTCTTTTTTGCACTCATTCCAGTTTAATAACATCCATCCTGTAGCAGGGCAACGAGAATTGTATGCAGTACTCCAAATGTGGCCTCACCAATGTCTTGTACAGCTGTAACATGATGTCCCAACTCCTGTACTGAATGCTCTGATGGCAAACATTCCAAACACCTTCTTCACCACCTTGTGTACCAGAGATGCCATTTTGAAGGAACTATCTACCTACACCCCGAGTCTCTGTTCGACAATACTCCCTGGGGTCCTACCATTAACTCTAAGTCCTACCCTGGTTTTTCTTGCCAAATTGCAACACCTCGCATTTATCTGAATTAAACTGCATCTGCCACTAACCCATGTGATCAAGATCCCGTTGTACTCTATGATAACCTTCTTCACTGTCCACCATACCACCAGTCCCAATCTATGGAAAGTTAAAATCCCCTACTATTATAACCACATTATTCCTACAGCTATTTGCAATCTGCCTACATATTTGCTCCTCAATTCCTACTGACTACTGGGGGGGGGGCCGAAAGTACAATCCCATTAAAGTGATCACGGCTTTCTTATTTCTCAGTTCCATCCATATAACCTGAGATTACAGGCCTCACTGGACGCTCCCTCAGGAACAGCCTCTCTAATTACTGCCATGATGTTTTCATAATCAAAAATGCCACTCCCCCTCCTCATGCCTCCCTTTCAATTCTTCCTGTAGTATCTGTACACTGCAATGTTGAGCTGTCAGTTCTGTGCCCGCGCCCCACCCCGCCGCCACCCCAACCATGTTTCAGTAATAGCTATGATAGCCCAGCTATGTTTAAGGTCTCAAGATCAGAAATTTTTTTAAAAATTAAGCTTTTTTAACTAAAGGCATTATAGTACAAAATGTCATGTTTTAAACAAAACTACAATACAAGAGCTAAAGAAAATAAATTCTGCTCATTGACACCATCTTTTGTAAATATTTATTCTTTAAGTGCAGAATTTTCAACAGGACCCCGCCCTATTCCATTTTTATTTTTTCGTAAGAGCTCCCCTATCCTTGAGAGTTCCTTTATTTCTGCTGGGATCAAACCAAGGTGCTGTCAGAAATTGGTTTTGATTCTGCTGTTCTGGATGATTGGATTCCTTAGCACCCCGCCACTAGTGTCCAGTTGGCAACTCTCATTAAACACCTCACAATTGTGGCCATCCCAGATTCCAAAATCAGGCAGTGGTATTGATTTTGTATGGTAATGTGCTGAAATGGACAATCACTGAATTGCATTTTACTTTAGGTCTGTCAATCAGCTTCTCAACAAGGAGTTTACACTAGTATGCATCATTGACAGAAAAAGAAGGCAAAAATTTAAGGTTCAGTCATAGGACATTTATTGGAACATCATAACCCCATCCCTGGACTCAAATGAACCCAATCCCAATAATTTAAATGATCTCTAAACCTGTTACTTAATTTCAAAAAGAAGTTAAAGGGACTTGGATTTAATTTGAATTATTCTTTGCTTCTTCAGGGTTTGTGTAGGTGCCTGGAAAAATCGTTTCCAGATATAAAAGACCGAGGTGTGGTGATTGGGTTTGATGCACGTGCTCACCCTCCCAGTGGAAGCAGCAGCAAAAGGTGGAGTTTGTTTTGATCTGGGGGAAAGGAACCTAACAAGAAACCAGATATTTAGGTCTTAGTAGAACTGTGACCACACTGAAAACAGTATCACAATATGCTTTATGCTGTTTGAGTTATACGCAAGTGAAAGACGTTTAACTTACTAACAAAACTGTTGAAGCTAAATTGCAAATCTACTCATTGTTCTGTATAAAGTGTATTACCAAGATGAAAATTAACAAATATAATCTTGTTGCCAACTGGGATTACTTTATTCTTTTGTTTGAAAAATAACTTTTTTTTTCAATTTCTAGCAGCCTGAAATGTTTATTGTACTGAGTTAAAGTGCGAGGGTAGATCTCCTTACTAAACAGGTTGGACCCTGAATTCTCAGCACGCACATGATTGTTTTGTCTGAATGTTTTGTGGGGTACCGTTTCACATGGGGCGGCTTGCCTGAAACTGGCCAAATTGTAACTGACATTGTCACTAGTAGCTGCTGTCTTCAAAGCTTTCACTTTTGAAATTATTTTATACACTACAGTTAACTAAACTAATGGTTCCTTGTGATTTTCTTCATAATTTTCTTCATAAAATAGGATAGTAGGTGTTTAAACTAGACATTTTCTCCTAGTAAAGCCATTTCCAGCTGGAGTAAATAAAGCTGTCTCAGGTTTCCAGTCTTTCGAATGGCTTCGTGTGCAGCAAGGAAAAAGAGAGAGAGAATGAACAATTGTTAAAATACAGCCTCCGTTGCACTTGCTGATGAAATACTGTGTGGTTATCCTAATGTGTTTCAGCTGACACTTGGACAATAACTTCATTTCAGAATTTGATTTTGCTCTTCTAATTGCATCCAATATGGAAACTCAACCAGTATATTTTTATATAAATCTTAAATATGTCTCAAATTATTTAGTGATTAATATCACATTAAAATTTATGTTTTTCTCACTTATTTGAGTGTTGAGAAAGCATATTTTAAATTACCTTGGTTTTCTGGCTGGTTAAGTCAGTTAAACTGATTCAATTTTATATGGCCTTATAATGGAACGGAAAGAAGTACGATTTAAGTGCTGTAAACATGTATAAACATAACATGCTGATGTTTGTACATTGTGCTTTCTGATTTCTTTTCTAACTGTTTGCTAGAAAAGAACGTCTGTGCATAAAATTACCTTTGGATTGTTGAAAGGAAGTGTATGTTGGTGCAAAGTAGCAGGTTTGCATACGTTGGCATTTAAAAGAGATTTAAAATTAATCAAAAGTGTATGTTTTTCTACTTCACACATAAATTTTGTACTTAACCTGTTTCTGTGACTTACAGATTTGCTCGATTTGCAGCCACTGTCCTGGCTAGCCAAGGAATTCCTGTATATCTGTTCTCTCGGATTACACCAACCCCACTTGTGGTACGTGTTACTGTTTCCATGTAATTTGTTCTGTATTTTGAACTCCACCTTGGCTGAATTTCCGAACTGTTCTAAACTAAATAAAAAACTAATGACCTTAAATGTGTATCCAAATGTTTTAAACCTAATAAAAACATCTTTCCATTAACACTATAGGGAAAATAAGTGGTAAAGATTCTGTGCTTCATTTCAAATGTCTCGAACAATCAGAGTTAACCTGTCTGCTTTAAATGTTAAACAAAACTTAGGAGTTGACCATCAATCATTATCTGACTGGTGCACTCTTCACAGTACTACTTCTGACAATCAAAGTGACTAGTTCTCACCAGTTTTTAATTTTTCAGGCATCTGTTATTGGTATCAGAGACTTAAGTTACAGTGCTTTGCCTGGAGAAGTTAGACATCCCTTGACAAACATGGGACTTAGTTTTAGTAGTTCCAGTACAGTATCAAGCAGAGAAATCAGTTGAGTTCTCTGGTAATCAACATTGCACAAACTTTAGAAGGATTCAGTGGGGTTCAAAGAATGGTTGGTCAGATTAGTGGGATTGGTGTTATTAGCTCTATTCTGATTGCCCACATGTGGCCAGAGAATCTCTTGCAGTGGCTTCTCTCTTCCTGTTCTTCATTAATACTTCTGAAGCCTCTTCAAGGATCAATCCTTGACCTCTTCCTCTCCCAATATCTATGCATGTAGATCAGTGCCACATTTTGTACAACGTTTCTGTGAAGCATTTTGGAATGTTTTGCTGTGTTAAAGACTGTTTTGAAGGCGGGTTATTGTGAAACATTAAGAATAATCCTAGGTGCAAGGGCTAATGAGCTATGAGGAAAAGTGGAACATCTGTCACTTATCGAATAGTACTAGCATTGTTGTCATCAAATGAAAAATATGATGCTGAGTTGAACTGTGATGCACCAATTAAGTGTTAACTCTGCATTTCTTCTTGTATCTCTGAGTGGGGTTAATAAGGGAGATTTGACATGGCACTTGGAAGAAGAGTTGCCTTTTCTTTTGCCAGAGACGTTTCACAGTGCACTTGGTCTTGGTCTGGTAAGTGGAAGGAATTATGCAATCTGAAGCACTCTTTCTGGAGGCATACCTAGCACAAAGGAAAATGGTTCCTGCTGTTATACGTCAATCTGCACATTGTAGGAAGCCCAGACAACTTTCATTCTTTCATCAACCATCTTCTGTCAGTCAGATCCAAAGTGGTGTGTTTGCTGACGCTTATACAATGTTCAGCACCATTCTGAAGCTCATCCTGTCCAAATGCAGGAAGATCTGGCCATCAGTCCAATCTTGGACTGGTAATTGGCATTTAATTTTCATCCCATACATGTCAGATAATGACCTTAGAACATTGAACAGTCCAGCGTAGGCCCTTCAGGCATTTGTGCTGACATGATACTGTTCTAAACTAATCCCTCTATTCTCCACCTGTTCATGTGCCTGACTAAATACCTCTTAAACTTTGCTATTATATCTGCTCCTACACCTCCCCTGGTAGCACATTCCAGACACCACCCACCTGCTGTGCTTTTAAAAAAAAACTTTCCAGCCTTCAACACTCTAGCGAATACAATCGAAATTTGTCCAACCTCTCTTTTAGCTAACATACTCCAATCTAGGCAACATCTTGGTAAATCCCTTCAGCACCCTCTCTGAAGCCTCCATATCCTTTCTTACAGTGTGGTGACTAGAACTATGCACAGTTCTCCGAATGTGGCCTGACCAAAGTCTTACACAGTTGCAACAAGGCTTGCCACTTTTATACTCTGTGCCCCAACCAATGAAGGCAGGTATACTGTAGGCCTTCTTTACCACCTTATCCCCTTCTGTTGCCACTTTCTGGGAACTATGGGCTTGGGTCCCAAGATCCTTCAGTATATTAATGCTCCTCAGGGTCTGGCCATTTACAGTATACATTCCTCCTGCATTTGATCTCCCAAAATGCATCACCTCACACTTGTCTGGATTAAATTTAACCTGCCATTTCTCTACCCAACTTTCCAGCTGATCTGTATCCTGCAACAACCTTCGTCACTGTTCAGAACTCCACCAATTTTTGTATCATCTGCAAACTGATTAATCAGACCTTCTAAATTTTCATCCAAATCATTTATAAATTACAAACAGTAAAGGTCCCAGCACTGATCCTTGCACAGCACCACTGGTCGTAAACCTCTTGTCAGATAAACACCCCTCTGCCACTACCCTGTCTCTTCTATGGCCAAACTTGCCAAATCATCTTGGATTCTATGCGACTTGATCTTCTGGACCAGTCTATCGTGAAGGAACTTGTCAAATACTTTAGTAAAGTTTATTAGACAATATAAACTGCCTTACCCTCATCAATCATCTTTGTCACTTCTTCCAAAAACTGAATCAAGTTTTTGATACAAGATCTCCCTTGCACAAAGCTGCGCTGACCATCCCTAATAAGTCCATTCTTCTCCAAATGCAAGTAAATCCTGTCTTTGAGTCTTCTCCAATAATTTCCCTACCATTGATGTAAGGGTCACCAGTTCATAATTTTCTGGATTATCCTTGTTGCCCTTCTTGAACAAAGGAACAACATTAGCAGTTCTGCAGTCTTCTGGGACCTCACCTGCATCTAAAGATGATGCAAAGCTCTCTGTCAAGGCCCCAGCAATCTCCACCGTTCCCTCCTTCAGTATCTTGGGATCAATCCCATCAGGCCCTGGGGCCTTGTCTACTTAAATGTTTTTTAAAACGTCCAACACCACTACCTTAATTTTGACATGTCTTAGAATATCAGCAAACCCTCTCTAAACTTGCCGTCATCAATGTCTTTCTCCTTGGTGAATATCAATGCGAAGTACAATGTTTGATTGAGCAGTGATGAATTCTGGAATGGATGAAAGGCCTATTCCTGCTCCTGTTTCTTCTCTTTTTTCTTTATGGTGGACAAATGCCTTCATATTTATTTTTCTCTCCAAGGAAATAGCTTGAAGCAGTTCTGGAATCTGCAGCACTAGATATTGATTGAAATTGTCTGCCTTTGATCTGATCTTAATTGTATCAAACAGAATTGACTCGACAGCTGGTTGATGCAGTGTGATGCCAACAGCATGGGTTCAATTCCCACGTTGGCTAGGTCACCATGAAAGACTGTCCTTCTCAATCTCCCTTTGCCTGAGACCTTGTGACTCTCTGGTTAAACCACCAACAGCTATCTTGCTAATGAGAGAGTAGCAGTCTTGTTTGATAAGACTAGGGCAGCTTGATACTTTAATTGTATTATGCTTAATGTGTTTGTAGGGTCAGATGGCCCCAGTTGGTGTAAAATTTATATTAAGATTCAGACCTCGGGGACAGTCGGATGCAGCTGTCTGAAAATTGGATGTACCAAGGCGTGTTATTATTCAGCTAAAGAACAATGTTGACCAATTTAGAGCTGTTTGCTATCTTCAGCAAGTAAGAATTAAACCATTGTGGTTTGCTGTTCAGTGGCATTACCATTGCTGAATCCCCCTTTTCAACGTACTGGGAGTTACTATTAACCAGAAAATGAATGGAACTCCCATATAAGAAAAGAGCAGGTCATAGGCTAGGAATTTTGTGACATGTAATTCACCTCCTGTCTCGCCAGTGTTGTCTACCGTCTGCAAAGCCCAACATAAGTGCAGCTCCAGTAGCACTCAAGATGCCCAACGTCATCCAGGACAAAGCATTTCATTCAATTAACACATCCAGCACCTTCAACATTCACCACTCTCTCCACAAGCAACACCAAATAACAGCAGTGTGTACCATCTATCCAATGCACCACCCTAATTCATCAAGACTCTTAAAACATCACCTTCCAAACCTGTGGCTTCTACCACCTAGAAGACAAGGGCAGCCAGTGCATAGGAAACTCAAAAATCTTCAAGTTACCCTCCAAGCCCCACACCATCCTGACTTAGAACTACACTTAAACTTTCTTCACCGTTACTGAGTCAAAATCTTGGAACTCCCTTCTTAATAGCACTCAAGATATCCCTACAGCCCCAGAACTTCAGTAACTCAAGGCAGCTCACCAATGTCCTCTGCAGGGCAATTAGGAATAGGCAATAAATGTTAGTCTAGCCAGTGATAGTGACATCCATGAATGAATAAAAATAATTAAAGTGTAGATTAGAAAATCATCATTCGTTAAAATGATATGGTGTGTTGCCAGGAAGGAGTTTGCATTCATAGAATCCCCACAGTGTGGAAAAAGGCTATTCGGCCCAAGTGCATACTGACGCTCTGAAGAGCATCTCACCCAGACCCATCCCCATTCCCCTACCCTGTCCCTGTAACCCTGCATTTCCCGTGGCTAATTCACCTAACCTACACATCCCTGAACACAATGGGCAATTTAGCAAGGCCAATCCACCTAACCTGCACATCTTTGGACTGTGGGAGGAAACTGGAGCACCCGGCAGAAACCCATGAGGAGAATGTACAAACTCCACACAGACAGTCACCCAAGGTTGGAATCGAATCCAGGTCCCTGGCATTGAGGTTGCAGTGCTAAGCATTGAGCCACTATGCCACCCGACTGGTGTTTTCACCATGTCCAAAATACTACCTGTTGTGTGAAGTATTTTTGAAGTGTGGTTGCTATTGTAATGCAGGAAATGCCGAAGCCAATTTAGCTACGAAAAATTTCACCATTGACAATAAGATTCACTGTTCTCTGCAATATCCCAGCCAATATTTGGATATTGTATCAAAACTCTGTCAACTGTTGACCTCTTATGTTAATACCTATAAATTGTTTCAGCTTTTGTGCTCATGCATTGAATATACAGATTTGTCATGTGACAAGCTGTACCGAGTCAGTTAACTTTTAAAAATTACACCGAACTCCCCATGCTATGATCCTTAAGAACGAAGTCAGTTGATTCACTTTTACAATTTAATTTATTACTTTAAATACAGTAAATCCCCAATTTATGAAAGTCCAACTTAAGACTGCTTGTACTTGCAAAAGTAATACCATACAGGGGCATAATTTTAAAAGTCTGATACGTGAACATTTCCTGTACTTACGAGCAGCTACTTTACATTGTCAGCATTGTGCTCTGATTTGCGTACAGATCAACTTGTGAATGAACTCAACATGAAGTCTTGTTTGCGACCAGGGGACTGCCTGTAATTCTCCAACTTGCAGTTTGTAACTTAACAAGTACAAAATTTTAATTCGTCTTTTAATGTATCTGTTTCTATTCAATTATTTTCTTTGTAGCCATTTACAGTATCCCAACTGAAGCTGTGTGCAGGAATCATGGTAACAGCATCTCACAATCCCAAACAAGACAATGGTTACAAGGTAATCTTATGATTCTTTATACAAATATATTGAACAAACCTAAGATGGCTGCTAAATCTTTAATCAATTAGAAAGGAGATGCAGGTCTCGATTTGATTAAAATGCAAATCCCAGAATTTCTTTCAAGTCACTGCCCTGAGATAACTAAAAGTTTTTGGTTTCCTCGAAGTGATATCTCAGGTCAGGCAATACATTTAAGGTGTGAGGCCTTGCTTAGAATTTGACTGTGTTTTAGCTTGAAGTCAGACTGGTTTTGTTTCCAAAGTAGGAATTTATAAAATGCCACTGACTGTCTACAAATTGTGTGCTTTTTGAACAAAATAGAATGTATCCGTAATATCAAATCTGCAGATGCAAATCCATCCCATAGATTTGTGTGTGTGTGAGAGAGAGAGGAGAGAGCGGGGAGGTTCAGTACTTTAACATCAGTTTTATGACCCTTCGATCTTTTGCTTATAAATTCTGTCTGATGCCACCTCTCTCACTAACGCCTGAAGAAGGAGCGAGACTCTAAAAGCTTATGTTTTTCATTCGTGGATGTCAAATATACCTATTGGACTATAACCTGGTGTCGTATGATTTTTGACCCATTACCCTTAACACCATTGATAATCAAAAATTTATCAACCTTTATTTTAAATGTAACACAGATTGTGCTTTCACAGCCCTCTGGCATAGCAAGTTCCTCTGAGTACAAACATTCTCCTCATTTGTTCCAACGTGTTATCCCCTTGTTGTTTCTTAAGTTGTTTCCCTGATTCTAGGCTCCCCAACCAGGTATACATCTGCATCTACCCTGTCCATCTCTACCCTCGATTTTGTAGGTTTCAGTGAGATCATCTTTTATTCTTGGTAACTTTAGATAGTACAAGTCCAGTTTGCCCAATCTCTCTCTGTAGAACAGTCCCACCATCCCAGGAACAAAACTGGTGATCCTTCATTACATTCTGTCTAGAACAATAATATTTTCCCTGAGTTGGGGAAACAGAAGCTGCGCACGGGTTAAACTAAACCTGGAGGACTATCTCCTATGCAATGGAAGGAAATCTTCACTGTTCTATACTCAAATCTTCTTGTGATAAAGAAAGCATCCAGTAGCTTTCGTCATAGGTTGCCGCGCTTGCATTTTAGCTTTCAGTAACTTCTTGACAAGGACACCCACATCCATTTGCATGTCTGCATTTTCCAACCTCTCATCATTTAAGAAATACTCTGCACGTCTATAGTGGAAAACCTCACATCTTTCCACCTTCTATTCCAACTGTCATGTTGTTGCCCAATCACTAAGCCTGTCTAAATCCACTTGAAAGCATCTTCCTCAATGCACATTCTTCTCAGCTTTGTAACATCTGCAAATTTTGCAGTTGGTCCTACGTCCAGATCATTGATATATATTGTGAACAGCTGGTGCCCAAGTATTTTTTGTTGCGGTACCTGACAACGCGAGAATGATCTATTTATTCTTGTACTATTTTCTGCCTGGTAGCCAATCCTTAATCCATGCCAGTATATTACCTCCTATGCCATGTGCTTTAATTTTGCTAAACAGACTCATGTGGAGGGCCTTATCAAAAGCTTCCTGAAGATCTCAATTTTGTTAGTAACATCCTCAAAAAAAATCCCAACAAGTTTGTTTGCATGATTTTCCATTTGCAAATGCATACTAACAAAACACAATTGGATCATTTTATCCAAGTGCCCATTTGCCACATCAATTATGTTAGATTCTAGCATTTTCCTTGCTATTGATATAAAGCTGATGGATCTGCAGTTCCCTGTTTTATTCTTGCTCCTTTTTAAATAATGGGGCGACGTTTGCAAGCTTCCAACGTTTGCAAGCTTCCAATCTACAGCAATCATTCCAAAATCTGTGGGATTTTGAAAGACGATTACAGGTGCATCGACTATCTCTGTAACTAATCCTTCAACACTCTGGGATTTAGTTATCAGACCTTTGAATGTATCAACCTTCAGCCCCGTTAATTCCTTCAGTATACTGTCACTAATACTAATTTCCTTTAACTCCTTGTTCTCCTTAGTCACTTGGATCTCTTATTCTGGAAGATTTCTTCTATTTTCCTCAGTGAAAACTGGCGCAACGCAATTATTAAGTTTGTCTACCATTTCTCTATTCCACATATAATTTCCTAACTCCAGCTATTTTTAATGAATCCACATTTATCTTGGCTAAGCGTGTCCTCCTTATGTATCTAGAAGGTTTTACAGTCTTTTTCACTAGCTTGCGTTCGTATTTTTTTTCGTTAATGGTTTCTTTCTCCTCCTGTGCTGTATTCTTTAAAAAAAAATCCCAATCCTCTGATCTAATGCTATTTCTTCCCACTTTTTCTTTTAATCCTATACATCCTTAACATCCTTTTGTCAGCTATGGATGAAGGACCCGTTTTGAATTTTTGCTCCTTCAAGGAATGTATAGTTGCTGTAAGCCATGATAATTTGAAAAAAAACCGTCCTTGCCTATGTGTAAGTCTCTTAATGTATTTTCTCCAATTTAGCTCAGCCAAGTTGTGCTTCGTGGTTTCTCAATTTCCCTCATTCAAATTTAACATCCTTGTTTCAAATTGAACTATCTCACTTGCAAACATAATGTAAAATTCTATCATGTTTGGTCACTCATTCCTAAAAGTTGTTTTACAACAAGATTACTAATCAGTCCTTTCTCATTACAGAGTAATAAGTGTCTCTTCTTCAACATGTTGCTGTAGAAAACCATTGCTAATGCACTTGAGAAACTACCTCCATGGCTTCAGTGCTCACTCGGTTGACCCCGTCTATTTGCAAATTCAAGTCAGCTATGGTTGCTGTGTTGCACATGCTGCAAGCTTCTCTCAGCTCCTGATTTGTACCATGCCCCACATTACCATGACTATTTGCTGGCTAATTCCATCTAGTGTCAGTTGCCTCTTGCTTTTTCTTAGCTCTACTCAAACAGATTCCACGCATTTTGGGTCTGGTTCTGAGGAACGGTCACCGGACCCGAAACGTTAACTCTGTTTTCTCCTCCACAGATGCTGCCAGACCTGCTGAGCTTTTCCAGCAACTTTGTTTCTGTTCCTGATTTACATCATCCGCAGTTATTTTGGGTTCTGATTTCCCGAACAACTGTCTTGGAAATTCAGCCTAAACATTAATTACAAGATATGGTACAACAAAATAATCAGCTCAAGTATACCCAGTTTAATCATATAGCACTTAATATCAACGCTGAAAATACTCAGCAATTCTTTGAACTGTGCACGTTTTCAAACAGATGTCATCAGCAATTTAATTTCGAAGTCCCTACTTCTACATTCTACATTTGTGCAGACCTGAGACGGAATTTGAGATGCATCATTTCAACAAAAAATTTGGAAAATACCTTTTAAGGATGTCCCAAAACATTTACACACTTCTGATGTGTCATTGCTGTTGTAATGCAGGAAACACAACCCCTAATTTATGCTTTACAAAAGTATATTATGATAATGCCATTAAAATTAAATCATCTGCACCCTCTTATTCAAATTCCAGATGTTCTCCCTAACCATCTGTTTCTCTTCTGCTATCATTCTTCTCTTTGAACCTTTTGCAGGTTAGTTCAATTTAACTTTTATTCTCCTGAGCTGCTTTAACATTTTGCAGAACACATGAGTCTGAAGCAATGCTGGGATGTCTGGTTAAAATCTGCTGGACTTCTGGGTCTCCAGGCTGTTGAAATATTGTGGAAAGCTGGTTTTGGAATCCAATTGTGCATGCATGGGTCTTATTCATTGTAAAAGTAGCTTAAGGCTGCTGTAGATTAGGTTCATATTTACAAAGTCCTTGTGTCTTATTTTGACCTTGTCTTGTATTTTTATGATCACTTAAGACAATGCACTCAGCACCAAACTTGCACCTATCAATAATTTTGTTTCATGAATAACATTTGGTTTTACCTCACCTAGTGGGTATTCTATTCCAGAAGTTAGTGCCTTTTGAACAATTTGCATTTGTTTATAAACTCAACTGACGTGGTACAAAGTACACCTGTTATCGCTATTTTAACTCCAAGTTTATAAAGTTAAAAACATTAACATGGTTTTTAAGAACAGTGATCATAACTTGGTCAAATACATAAAAGAAAAAATGCTAGACAGGGCTTCACCAAACAACTATGTTTTTAAAAAAAAAACTTTGTCTATCATTGTTTCCTTGGGATGTTAAAATGGGCAATGCTTATGATTTCTTAATTATTTTAAAGTATGGATAATGTTGTCAACTGACCATTTCCATTTTCCAGAAAAAGGTCATTATTTTTATGGTCTTGCCAATTTCTTTGTGATTCAGAAGTGTAGGAACATTCAGCACTTTGACTTTATATGCATGCTAATTACACAATGTATAGAAAATTCCATCTTCACTTAAATTCTTTAAGCAGGCATTCATGAGGCAGGCTAGTTAAATAAATTAATTACTTATGGTAGAGCAACTGTTCAGAAAATGAGAATAACAAGGTGTAGAGCTGGATGAACACAGCAGGCCAAGCAGCATTAGAGGAGCAGGAAGGCTGATGTTTCGGGCCTAGACCATTTTCTGAAGAAGGATCTAGGCCCAAAATGTCAGCCTTCCTGCTCCTCTGATGCTGCTTGGCCCGCTGTGTTCATCCAGCTCTACACCTTGTTATCTCAGATTCTCCAGCATCCGCAATTCCTACTATCTCAGAAAATGAGAATGGTGAGTTTATTTCTGCTGGGTTTTTTCTTGAGTTTATTTTCTTGTATGTCATCAAATCATTTAGGTTTCTGTGGTTCAACTTGAATTAAAAAGGCGATTTAGTTCCAAACTGAACGCATTGGTGATTCAAGGTATTTCAGGAAAGAAGCTGGCTATCCAGAATTGATGACATTTTCCATGCTTGTTTGGATGTTTGTTCTGAATGGCTTCACTCATCCTTGCTTGCAGTATTTTAATTTTTTTATTTTTAGGCTATATGCAGCTGAATAATTTTGAGTGATCAGTCATTATCCTTTTACCAGTAGATGTTGTAACCACTGTGGTTTGTTTGGTAATATTTAGGTTTACTGGTCTAATGGAGCTCAGATTATTTCACCTCATGATAAAGAAATTGCAAAAGCCATTGAAGAAAATTTGCAGCCATGGTCAGAGTCATGGAATGACAAGTTTGTTGACAGCAGTTCCCTCATTAAAGATCCTTATGAAGATATGAAAAGTAAATATCTTGAATGCCTGCAGAAGCATTGCTTTCACAGGTCAGTGATCAGATGCATTGGAGAGGCAATGAGTAATGACAGTTGCACTGGACTAGTAACTCTGAACCCCAGACTAATATTCTGGGGAATAAAAAAAAAATTGCTGATGCTGGAAATGGAAACAAAACCAGAAAGTGCTGGAGAAACTCAGCAGATCAGGCAGCATCTGTGGAGAAAAAAAAATCAGAGTTAATGTTTTGAGTCCAGTGACCCTTCTTATAAACTTCAGTGAAGGATCACTGGACTCAAAATTTTGTCTCTGCTTTCTGTCTGCAGTTGTTGTCAGACCTGCTGAGTTTCTCCATTCTGTTTTTGTTTAATGTTTAGGGACATGGATTCAAATCCCACCATAGCCAAAGAAGCCTGAATGGTGTTTAAAACAAAATTTGGAATTAAAAGCCTGCCCAATGATGACCGTGGAACCATTGTTGATTGTCATAAGAAACACATTGTTCAGTAATGTTGATTCAGAAAGAAAATTTGCCACCCATACCTGGTCTGGCCAACATGTGACTCCACGCTGTTAATACTCAGAACTGCCCTCGGGGCAAGTAGCGATGTGTAATACATGCTGGCCTAACCAATGACATCCACATTTCCATGAATAAATGGAAATGATTTCTACAGTAAACTGATTAATGTCACCTGTCTATAATTTTATTTTATGTAGTTGATCTTGTGTCATCAAAAGCAGTCCCAAGCTTTTTCTAGACCTTGGATTTATCTGGAACCCTGCTATATCTTTGTAGTGCCAACATACTCTGTATTCTGGAAATCAGAAATACAACAGAAAACGTTGGTAATATATAGCAGGTCAGGCAGCATCTGTGGTGACTGAGAACCTTTCAGATGTTAGCTCTTATTTCTGTCTTCACAGATGCTGTTGGCCTTGAGTTCCAATCTACCTATATTTAGTTAACGTGATTGATCAAGGGTGTGATACAGAAAAAGAAGTTGATTTTTTGCAAAATTTCTATTTTATATACAGAATTAAGATTCTTCCTTATCCATCCTGTTCTCTCAGCCCAGCAAAATTATTATTTTTTCATAGAATCCCTACAGGGTGGAAGCAGGCCATTCGGCCCATTGCATCCACCCACCACTCTGAAGGGCATCCCACCCAGACCCACCCCCTACCTTATCCCTGCATTTCCCACCCTACGCACCATGTGCAATTTATCACAGCCAATTCATCTAACCTTGTGGGAGGAAACTGGAGCACCCGGCAGAAACACTCACAGACGCAGGGAGAACATGCAAACTCCACACAGACAGTCACCCAAGGCTGGAATTGAACCCGGGTCCCTGGTGCAGTGAGGCAGCATTGCTAACCACTGAGCCACTGTGCCAAGGATAACTGACTCTTTAGGGTTCAACTGTGCAACTTCCATTCCTGTCCCTGTCATTTTCATAAACATCTCAAAAGCCCTTCTCTCAGTTCCTTTAGCTCTTGCAAACTGGTACCTTATGTTCCTAATGGCCTCTTTCCTACCTACCCATTTATGGTTTAAGCACCTCCTGCAAAGGTTTCTTGTCCTTAAAGTGGTCCTCTTTGCTTTCTCTGCCTGCTTTGTTTATCTATCCTCTGGTACTTAACAAAACATCTGAGGATAAGGAGTCGATTCCACAGGTATACCAACAATATCTATCTTTATTTCTTCACTTGTCTACTAGCTCTTTTTCCTTTCCAGCAGCCTATCTTGAATCAGCCATGATTTCTTGCTGTTACACATTAATGAATAGACTTATTCAGGTTCTTCACACCTATCACAAACAAGGTACCCTTTGTTCTGATTCTATACAACATCACCAGCATCTATCTGTGAGTCAGACAGCATCCGAGTCCCCTTAGTCCTCGTGTACCACCCCATCAACCTCCAAATCCAACACATCGTTCTCTGACATATCTGCCACCTACAAATAGACTCCACCACCAGAAAGATATTTTCCCTCCCCGTCTGCTTTCCACTGAGACTGTTCATTCTGCGACTCCCTCATCAGCTCTACATTACCCACCAATTTCTCCACCACACCCAGAATGTTTCACCGCAACTGCAAGAGGTGAAACACCTACCCCTGCTCCTCCCCTCTCACCTCTGTCCAAGGCCCCAAACAATCCTTCCAGATCCGACAGAGATTCACCTACACTTTATCCAACCTTATCTATTGCATCTGTTGCTCCTGATGTGGTCTCCTCTGTATCGGGGAGAGCAAACGCAGACCCGGGGACCGGTTTGCGGAGCATCTGCTCTCTGCACGCATCAACCGACCCAACCTTCCAGTTGCCATCCATTTTAATTCCCCCTCCCACTCCCCTGATGACATGTCCATCCTTGGCCTCCTCTACTGTCAGAGTAAGGCAAAACATTAACTAGAAAAACAACACCTGTTATTTTGCATTGGGAACTTGCAGCACAATGGCCTCAATATTGACTTCACGAGCTTTAAAATCTCCCCATCCCCAGCCTTATCCCTTGCCCAGACCTCCACCTCCCCCTCCTCTTCCCCTCCCTGACCTGACATAACCTGTCCACCTTCTTACTCACCTATCCACTCCACCCTTCCCACAGACTAATCACAATAACCCCCCTACCTACATCCATCTATCACTGTCTCTCCACCCCCCTCCCTCTATTTATTTCAGGGCTCCCCTCCCCGTCCCCTGTCCTGATGAAGGCTTTTGGCCAGAAATGTTGATTTTCCTGCCCCTCTGATGCTGTCTGACCTGTGGTTTTCCAGCTCCACATTTATTGATTCTGGCTTCCAGCATCTGCAGTCCTCATTGTCTCCAAGTTACCAGCCTGTATTCTTCTTTCAATGAATCTGTTGCTGAAACTCCTGTTCTTGTATTTTTCACATCCAGTTTCAACAATTTTAATGCTGTCCGAGTGGGCATCCTGTTTTTCATGTCTGTAGTCTTCAGCTTATCTGACAATTTGGTACCTGTATCATAGCCTGCACCAAGTCCAGCTTTCCTATCACTCTGGTTCTTAATGAGCTTCATTGGCTCACAATTCTGTTATGCCTCAGATTAAAAAGCTTATTCATGTTTTCAAATCCATTCATAGCTTTGCCCCTCCCTTTCTTCTTAGTCTGTGGCCCTACAGTTGACCACCTGCTTTCCAAACTCTGTCTCCTGATTCTGGCCCTTTGTACATTCATTTTCCTTTGCCCATCGTCATTACTTGTGCCTTCAGTCACATAAGCTACATATTCTGGAATTCTCTCACTAATTCCTTCTGTCTCTGCACCTCCAAAGTCTTCCATACTTGCTATTTTATCACACTTCCTAATATTTTATCCTTCATTTCAGCTTTTCTAGGTATAAAGGTGCTGTGTCAATCCAGGTTGTTGTACTTGAAGCATGAAAAGTTGGAATCTGATATTTACCATCTGTTGCATTGTGGCTGTGAATCTTTCTGTGTTGCTGTAGAGTTTCGGTATCTGTCCCCTTTGACATGAGAGCAGATGACCATTTGAAGCAGCACAAGTTTCAAAGGCATGCTAATTCTCACAGATTTCTTAATTATTTATGAATAAATATTTGCTACACTTTATATTTGATGTTAATTTCAGTTTGTTTTTGTAAAAGTTGTTTTATTCAGAAACTTCACAGCTTTCGATTTCCTTGACTTAGCAATGTTGTTTTCTGGTCTGACTTTGGTTTCCTTTCTATCTAGGGATATAAACAAGGAAACTAAACTTAAATTTGTACACACATCTGTACATGGAGTCGGACATGAATTTGTACAAGCCGCTCTTGCGTCATTCAACTTCACCAATCTCCTTGCAGTTCCAGAGCAGAAAGATCCTGATCCAGAGTTTCCAACTGTCAAATACCCAAATCCAGAAGAAGGAAAAGATGTACTGGTAAAAAGTATTGCTTGTTGTTATAGCAAACATTGTCATCAATTCTGCTTGAATATTGGTTCTGATGGGATATCAATGCTGTTTGTTGCGGTTATATTTCCTTCAACTGAAAATACTCCGAGTAAGATTTAATGATTTGCTAATTTTTAGTGTTGGTAAGTCAAAGAATTTTTTTTACAAAAAACTGATGTCATTAACATTCCACCATAACCACAGGGAAAAATTCCTTTAATGCAGTTTTTATCCATTGGAACTACAAACCAATATCCAGTCGTGCAATAGCTAAAAGTGTCTTAAATGCACATAGAGAAAGCTATGCTAGAGCCTTGTAACAGCACTCCTGATTACCTAGTCTTGCAGTTAATGCTTCAGCTTCAATGCTAACTCTTTTTGAGGATTGGGAAGAATGGTGAGTTTATTTTAAGAGGGATTATTTTAAAAGACATCCACCTGAGCTACTGAATGCTTAAGTTTTATCTTCTCTGAGGTGAATCAGAGCCAAAAACAAAATACAGTAAATAATCATGCCCACAGCATGATTTCCACCTCCATAGACATGTAGTTTATAACTCTTTCAAGATGTAAAGTTTGTGTATTTTTGCCAAAAGAAATGGAGCTTAAGCAGCAAAAATGTGAAGAGATCAGAGTCTGAATGAGTATATCAAACACACTGACACTTATATTCACCTTATAGTTTATTTGCTTTATTTCAGAATAAGTGAGCTAATGTGATAACAGAAATATGAATTTGTTTGTAGGTACCTTAACATATATAAATGGTCATAAATTCCTTTGATGTTTTGACTTCAAACTTGAATGTCTTGACAGTATCGGTTTCCTCTCAGGAGCTCAGATAAAAGATGCAAGAAATAATGCAGGAGAAGGCTATACTGCTCCTTGAGCCTGCTTAGTGAAGGAATTTCTCTACCTCATATGATGAATATAAGGCCTCTGAATCCTCATTCCCTTAAGTCCCATACACCTCTCAACCTAGTATCTATTATAAACAGAACTCTCACCCCCTATTAAAGAATTGGAAAGTCTTTTTAAAAACTCATAAATCTGCCAAAATAAATAACATTTTGATAGGTACCAGAAATCTCATTCCTCATAACAGGTTATAAATCTGTCAGATTAAATAAACATTACTTTTGTGTCCACCTTTTTTAAAAAAAAAAAAAAAAAATTCTGCAATCATCTTAGCAACTTAAAAATTTTAAAAAAAACCAAACTCTCATTCTCCTTGTTAACTGTGTTGATGTCTCTGCTGTGTAGTATCTATTAGTGGGTTTGGGACTGAGCTAAGCATTTAGAATATTACTTCTGGTGAACGGCTACGTGAACAACACCTCTGGAACTAAATGCATTAAAGCCTTGAAGACATCTAGAAACTCCGACATTCATCAGGCTTTGAAAGAGCCAAATGGATGTTAAGGTTGGTTGGTTCGCCGAGCTGGTTTGTTCCGCAGACGTTTCGTTACCATGCTTGGTAACATCCTCAGTACAGCCTCTGAAGCGTCGGTGTGTTTTCCTGCCTGGCTTTTAAACTCTGGGGTCCGTTGCGATGAATTGCCTCACTTCCGGGTTTCCTCCGTAGTGGAATGTATATGGGGTCGAGTTCAATGTGTTTATTAATAGCCTGCTTCGTGGAGTGCCATGCTTCCAGGAATTCTCGTGTTTGTCTCTGCCTAACCTGTCCCAGTCGAAGTCGTGGTTCTCCTTGTCCATGTGGATTGAGATGAGTGAATATTGGTCGTGTCTTTTTGTAGCCAGTTGGTGTTCATGTACTCTTGTTGTTAGTTTCCTTCCTGTTTGTCCGATGTAGTGTTTCTCGCAGTCTCTGCAGGGAATCTTGTAGACGACACTGGTCCTGTCCATGGCGGTGAGTGGGCCTTTAGTTCGGGTGAGCACTTGTCGTAGGGTTGATGTGGGTTTGTGTGCCACTCTGATGCCCAGCAGTCGTAGAAGTCTTGTGGTGAGTTCTGACGTGTTCCTGACGTAGGGCAGTGTGATGAGTGTGTCGGGGCGTGTAGAATCTTTCTGATGCTGTTCCTGTAGGCATCTCCTGACCCAGTTCTTTGGATATCCATTATCCTTGAACACTTGGAAGAGGTATTCCTCCTCCTCTTGGCGTAGTTCCATGTTGCTGCAGTGTGTTGTTGCCCTTTTAAATAGCGTTCGCACGCAGCTTTGTTTGTGTGCGCTGGGTTGGTTACTATTGAAGTTCAAAACTACTGGACCTATGCCTGACCACCCACTTCACCTTCAACGGCCAAACATACGAGCAAATCAATCGGACACCCATGGGATTGCCTATCTCCGGACTCATAGCAGAAGCAGTGATGCAAAGACTGGAAAGGACTGCCCTTCCGCAAATCCAACCTAAACTATGGATACGCTACGTAGACGACACCTTTGTCATCATTAAACGGACCAAATTAGAAGAGACACACGAACTCATAAACAACACCCTCACCGGAATAAAATTCACCAGAGAGGAGGAGAAGAACAAACAACTCCCATTCCTGGACGTCATGGTAGAGCGCAAGACAAATGGGGAACTGCAAACAAAAGTACACCGAAAAGCCACACACACAGACCAGGTATTGAACTTCAATAGTAACCAACCCAGCACACACAAACGAAGCTGCATGCGAACGCTATTTAAAAGGGCAACAACACACTGCAGCAACATGGAACTACGCCAAGAGGAGGAGGAATACCTCTTCCAAGTGTTCAAGGATAATGGATATCCAAAGAACTGGGTCAGGAGATGCCTACAGGAACAGCATCAGAAAGATTCTACACGCCCCGACACACTCATCACACTGCCCTACGTCAGGAAACACGTCAGAACTCACCACAAGACTTCTACGACTGCTGGGCATCAGAGTGGCACACAAACCCACATCAACCCTACGACAAGTGCTCACCCGAACTAAAGACCCACTCACCGCCATGGACAGGACCAGTGTCGTCTACAAGATTCCCTGCAGAGACTGCGAGAAACACTACATCGGACAAACAGGAAGGAAACTAACAACAAGAGTACATGAACACCAACTGGCTACAAAAAGACACGACCAATACTCACTCATCTCAATCCACATGGACAAGGAGAACCACGACTTCGACTGGGACAGGCTAGGCAGAGATAAGCACGAGAATTCCTGGAAGCATGGCACTCCACGAAGCAGGCTATTAATAAACACATTGAACTCGACCCCATATACATTCCACTACGGAGGAAACCCGGAAGTGAGGCAATTCATCGCAACGGACCCCAGAGTTTAAAAGCCAGGCGGGAAAACACACCGCTTCATCAGAGGCTGCACTGAGGATGATGTTACCAAGCATGGTAATGAAACATCTGCGGAACAACAAACCAGCTCGGCGAGCCAACCAACCTCAACACCCACAACCCGAGCTACAAATCTACTCCAAAACCTTAGAGCCAAATGGATGGTTGCATTGAAAATTAAGAAAACAAATCTAAGCTCTGGGCGCGTTTCATACTGTCCTCTTTGGAATTCACTATTGTCTCAATTCAGAATAGCACTTTAGGTATAATATCCATTTGATAATGCATCTGAAGGCTATCCCATCTTTCACAATTGCATTCATTCCACTCTTATTGCATGCCACTGAATATTGCTGGTTGTAGGAGTGATGGTGGAAATCACAAGATCTGCTCCG